AACATGTGCACAAAATATGTAATATTCTTTGTTCAATAAATAATACGTTTCTTTGCTGAAGTTTGTTTTAAGTACGAAAAAAATAAATAAGGAATCGTAAAATTCACGAATGCTTAGTCTTAAGTAGTGTGAGAAATATGCTTAGCGTTCTAGGGTTAAAGACGCCACAGGTAAATTTAAAATCCTTATCGACAGTGGTGCCGGTTGTTCCATATTTAAGCGGAACACTTGTCAAAATTAGACTAAACGTGTCGCCGAAAAGATCTCTATCCGACACGGACGAATATAAGGGGGGGTTTTGGGGGTCCGGACCTCCCCCATTCATATCCATCTTAATTGTCCAACAGAAAAAAGTTACATGCACCGCGTCGATTGTAGAAAACGATAGTTGCTGTGGAGGGTGTCCGTAGGGCGAGTATCGGAAAACGCGTTGCGTACCCACGCGTTGCGAACCCCCGCGTTGTGCGGGGAGAGGGGGAATGGACACTACCCCCGCCACCGTCGCCCGCGCTTCGGCGGCGCGCACCAAAAACCAAGCTAGTCTAGTGGTCTAGTCTAGTGATGTAAATATTCGGAATATTTTGATAACCGGTTACACGGAAACGGATGAATAGAATATTCGGATGAATCATCCGTAATAATATTACGTATCATCCATAATATCAGGTGCCTCAGATGGAGCCAATCCGGCAAATACATGCGGTTTTATGCGACCTGGCAACACGGAATACGGATGATTGAAATAATACGGAACAAGGGACGGTTGGTTATGATTAGTTATTAGTTTTATTCTGACGTGAGAAAGTGGTTTGTTTTGTTGGTTGTCTGTTGCGTCTCGCGTTCGTGTTCGAGCTGTGATCAACGCCACCTGTGGCGTGACCTATTTGAATTTTTCATTTCTGTGATAAGGTACCTAATTTAATATTAAGTGATTTACATAATGGCTCCTGCACAAAAATCAATCGTTTGGTCATTTTTCGTGAAATCGACGGACAATAAATTTGCCACATGCCGGCTTTGTAGTAAAAAATTGAAATATTTTATTAGTACTGGCAATTTAAAAACACACGTTGTTAAACAGCATCCGATTCAATATGACCAGCAATTGAACAAAAATAAACCAGTCGATGCTACCCAAGTCGATACCGATGATGAAAATGAAAGTAATGATCCGTCCCAAGTAGAGACAATAAGTAGTACTCCTGTCAGTCCTGTCCCTGAAGCTGCAACTGAAGTTGAAATTTCATACAGAAGTGAAAGTCAGCAGTCCATATTTTCGGGAAATTGGCCTGGCCCATCAACAAGTAAAGAATCTCAATCTCAACCCTTAGAAAACCTTCCTATTCTGTCAACAAGTAAGCAATCTCAACAAAAACGTTCTATTTGCGAACCAAGCTCAACCCAAATACGAAAACGAGGACAATTAATATTGTTTGGTGGAAAGGATTATAGTAGCGAAATGACCGAAGCCCAGAAAAATCGTTGTGATTTAGGACTTTTAAAATTAATCGTAGAAGATTTTCAGCCTCTTTCTATTGTAGAAAATGTCGGTTTTCTAGAATATAGTCGAAATTTGAATCCTCTGTATAGAGTCCCCAGTAGGAATATGTTAACAGAGAAGCTTCTAAAAGAACAATATGTGCAAGAATTATCAAAATTAAAATCTATGTTGCAGAAAGTGAAACATATTTCTCTGACAACAGATATTTGACAGTCTGACAGTAACGTGTCGTATATATCTCTAACCGCTCATTTTGTGCATGAGAACATCTTGCATTCGAGGGTACTAAGTGTGAAAGCACTTACGTCGGAACATCACACGGGAAAAAATATTGCTACAGATATAATGAATATTTTGAAAGAATATGCAATTGAAGAAAATCAGGTTGTAGCAATAGTTTCGGACAACGGTGCAAACATAAAGAACGCTGTTACGGAGCATTTACGTAGACCACACCATCCCTGTGTGGCTCACACATTAAATTTAATAACCAAGGAGGCGCTTAATGAAAATGATTGTCTCAAACAATTAATTTCAAAATGTAAAACTTTAGTTAGTTATTTCAAGCATAGCGGCCTGGCTACAAATAAACTAAAAAAATCCCAAGAAGACATAGGAGAAGCTCCCCTTAAAATAAAACAAGCTGTAGATACACGATGGAACTCCATGTTATTGATGTTAGAAAGACTTCTAGAAGTCAAAAACGCTTTATCTGTACCGATTACTAATTTACCCACTGCCCCTGAATTTATTGAAGCTTCAGAGTGGAGCATTATTTCTGATTGTGTACCAATTCTAAAACCATTAGAACTAATGACAACAGAATTATCAGGCGAAAAGTACCTAACCATGTCGTCTGTAATTCCTTTACAATTTACATTGAAAAATATGAAACCAGAAACTGAAGTAGGCGTATGGTTGAGATCTAAATTGTTAGATACAGTTTCAAGACGTCTGGAAATGCTTGAATCCAATAACTTTTCTTGACCCACGTTATAAAAAAATGCATTTGGCCTTGAAGAAAATGTTAGAATTTGTCAGACTTAGATAATGGATGAACTTGCAGCTATGTTAGGGACAGCATCCAATTCTGCTAGTATCGAGCCAGACATCCGACAGCTCAATGAACTTCATGAAAAAAGTATATCATTATGGACAAATTTTGATACAAAATTAAAGCAGATTAAAACAAGTACAACGCCAGCAATGACATCAACTCTTTGTCTTAGACAATACCTTGAACTACCGCACGTCGACAGCACATGTAATCCTATGGAATTTCGGTCGAAACATGAATTAGCTATGCCTGAACGGTATTCATTACATCAAAAATATGCCTGTGTACCGGCAACTTCTGTGCCAAGTGACAGACTATTTTCGAAAGCTGGGCAGTAGGAAATTTCTGGTGGATAATCCAGAAATTCCAGAAGAGTGTAAACAGCTGACTGAGGCTCTATTATCGTCTTTACAAAAAAGGTTTAGCAATATAGAATTTAACAAAATGTTTGCTGAAGCAACAATTTTGGATCCACGATTTAAAAAATTGGATTTGATAGTAAAACAGCTTTCGAATGTGCAAAAAAAAATTAATTAGCTATGTCACCAGGAATACCCCATCATCAAGTGAAGTCACCAACAGAAATGATGAGCAGATTCAGGCAGATGGAGTTGAATTAACAAAAAACAAACTACAAGATCAGCTATATGGATATAGTGTTAATCCTTTAACAGCTGGAATTTTAGAAGTATAAAAATATCTAGATGAGCCATTATTGCAGAGAGATTGTGACCCATTCATGTGGTGGGAACAAAGGAAAAATGTATATGTGCTTATGAAAAGTAGGTTAAGCATAGTAGCTACTTCAGTCCCCAGTGAAAGGATATTTTCTAAAGCTGGTCAAACTCTTACAGAAAAAGGGAGCAGTCTTCAAGGACAAAAAGTTTCCATGTTACTCTTTTTGAATTCCAATTTGTGATGATTATTTTTATACTTCAAATGCATACCAAAGATGTGATCAAGTTTTTGTTTAATATATTTCTACAACTTGTTTATTGAAATATGTGAATTATTTTTTGTGAAAAAGTTATATTTTTAGTTTCATTTATTTATTAAAATAATGTTCCTAAGTCATTACTTTCTGTGAATAAGTTTTTATGTTTGGTATATTCATTTTTTTATCTGTTTGATAGTTTATTTTATTGCATGCATTCCGGCTGTGATTAAGTTTCTGTTTAATATATGTTTTATTTTGTTTTTTATGACTTGATATTCAAGTTTAATAAAATATGGTTCCTAATTACAGTTTTTTTTTGTAAATATGTTATGCTGTAGGTATATTTTCAATATTCCTTATATTTATGTTCATTAAATTTATTTTTCTGTATTTTTTTCTTTACTAATTATCAATATAGCAGCTAAAGAGTATAAGTACTTTAAAGGTCATATCTAACATTTTATTATAAATTATCTCTATGACATGGACATGAAAAAACTGAAAAGTAAAAATTTTGAACTTGTTCAACTCACTGTTAAGTGAAAGATTTCACTTACTTTTTATTAATTCATAAACCGTTAGTAAAACTGAATAAATATTTCACTTACATTTTTTAACACTCCCATTAAATTGACTTGACTCTTAACTTACACAAAAATGCACAGTTTAGTATTATTATAAAAATTATAATACATTAAAAGATTAAAATTTCATTCAAAATTGTCACCATTGACAATGACAACTGACACTGTCGCACTGTCACTGTCAACACTGTTGCCCGCTCGCAGTTCACTTGCTGCACGCTGCAAGACTTCGTTGGATTGCTTGGCACACAGCCTCCTTCACTCAAAGCCATGAAGCATACATCTGGCAACGCCGCGTGTGGGTCTATCCTCTATCGCCAATCTCGTCCATTTTGCTCGTGTTTGTGTTTTGCTGTGGTTTTGCTCCATTTGTGATTGTGATTTGGACCGCACGTGAATTGATTTGTACGCTGTAGATTTGTAAAGATCTGTTTTCAATCTGCTCCTCATAATTGTTTGAATGTAAGTATAAATTAATACAGTACTGCATTTCATCAGATATAATAATTTCAAGAACTTATAACGTGTTATTCGAACCAAGAACAAAATTTATATAGTATTTTCTTCATTATCAGATGCCTAGGTTGCGTGCCAGGCTGCAAATCTGATTATTATAAAAGTACCCTGAAAAATGAAGAATTACTAACAACTTTTTGTTTTCCAAATGAAGAATCCCTTCAAAAGTTATCGTGACAACTATTCCATAACAAAACATTCAGTGGTTTGCTGCAAACATTTTACAGAAGGTGAAATAAGGCGCTTTGAGGTTTTTAAGGACAAGGATAATGTTTTTCAAGAACGCCCTCTAGCACGGCCAACATTGAAAAGAGGAGCTGTACCCCATATATTTGCAAATTTACCAAAATATATGAGTACTCCAGAGCCGAAAGCACGTCGAGATCCAGAGGAACGACAAAAAGAATGCATCCAAAGAAAACTGATCAAATTGAGGCATTTTTAAATGATGACTTGATTGTAGACTTTGAGGAATTCAAATTACTTGTGCAGACAAAAACAGTGCTGGAAAACTGGTGCTTGAAAAATTGTGGTGAAGTGTTTTATTTTTATTTGTTAAATGCTGACTGTGATGTGTTAGAGGAAGGTGTTAAGGTTATCAATAGTATAGTCATTCATTCTGACATGACTGTGCAAGTATTCCTCCATAACACGGAATTATCTCCTAATGACTTAAGGTGGATTTTACCAGAGCGAAAGCTTCAAAGATGGTCTCAGATTGAAAATTTATTGACAAGGTATAGTTTTGCTCAGCATACTGACTTTGATGGTATTTTTCATTTGAAAAAGGCACATGAACATCTGATATCAGCAATTGCAATCTTAAATCAACAAAACAGTAAACATCTCACAACTTTAGAACTTTTAAGGGACCAGCTTTCTCTCATTACATCGAAAAAGGTATATAATATGCCGACTTTAATTTTTTCATTGATTATTTTCAATCAGTCATCTTCAACATATGAACATATTAGAGATTATTCAATTCTCCCTACGAGTAGACGTTTAAAGCAAATTTCTTCAGAGTTTAATGTTTCACCAATTTTAGACAAAGAGAGAAAAAATAGTTACCTTCAACATGCAGCTTCAAATCTCTCTGATAGAGAGAAAATTGTATGCCTTTTAATTGATGAAATTTATGTAAAAACTGGTTTACAGTATAAAGCAAAGAATGTGACTGGGTTTGCTGAGAATGATCCAACTAAGCTAGCCAAAACAGTTCAGACATGATATAGTCTGCATTTGCCAATTTTAAAGAAGTTGTACGTCTTGTACCAGTGAATAATATGCCAGCTGATGAATTGTCCCAAATAGTGTTAGATGTAATCAGATACATACAAATGGAGGGGTTTAAAGTGTTGTGTGTAATCAATAGAGTAAATCAAAAAGTTTTTAGGTGTCTCTGTAATGGTGATGTATATTTTTCAAATCCATCAGATGCAGAAAAAATGTTTACACTATTTGATTTTGTCCACATATTTAAAAATATATATCATAACTGGTTGAATTTGAAAAATTTTGAGCATACATTTCTGTATCCAAATTATAATAATTTTGATGTTCAAGAAAAAGCTTCATTTGAAAATATTAGAAGCTTTTATAAGAATGAAATAGAAAAATTAACTAAGTTGGCTTACAAATTAAATGATAAAACATTATATCCCAATAATTTAGAAAGACAAAGTGTAGTTTTGGCACATAATGTTTTCCATGAATCCACAATCGCTGCCCTTAAAACTTGCAGTAGTTACAGCAGCACAGCAAATTTTCTACAAATAGTGCATGATTGGTGGAGTATCATAAATGTAAAAAATACTTTAAAGGGTACGCATAAAAGAGATGATCACTCGTGTCCCATCATTCCATTTTACGATGAAAATATAAAATTATTGAAGAAATTTTTAAATTGGTTGGATGCGTGGCATCAAAATATTCAAAACGTTGGACTCAGTAAATATACATACAATGCATTGAAACATAGTACAAGTGTTATGATTAAAATTGTAGACTATTCTTTTGAACACTTTCCACTTGAGTATGTACTTTGTGGGAAATTTCAAACAGATAATTTGGAAAAGAGGTTTGGTAGATATCGATATCTATCTGGATGTAATTATCATATTTCTTTCAATCAAATTCTAGAATCTGAAAAGAAAATCAGACTTCAGAATGTTTTGAAGACGTGCAACACAGAATTTGATTTAAAAGAGCTTCGCAATTCTTCCTTAACATCTGAGCAAGATACATTTTCACAGGATATATCAGACTTTCTTTTTATTTTGGAAACTGATTATTTAATTAGCTATGATGTTGATGAAGCAGTAAAAATATACATATGTGGATATGTGGGTCATTCTCTCATAAAAAAAAATAGTTGTACAAAATGCCAGGAAAAACTAATTAGGAGCAAAGGTGTCATGTTGGAATTAGATTATTTTGATTATTTACAAAGAGGAGGTCTTTGTATTCCAGCTGATGAGATAGGATATATCTATCATCATGCCTGTGCCATTTTTACTTATATAATTGATCATGAAAATACTTTGAAAATGTTATTTGCCCGATTAGATCATAAAACTATTTTAGGTACACTAATTGTGGAAAGTTTAGAATCAGATGTATTCATTGACCTTAAGATTATTTGTGAATGTGGTATGCCCCAGAAAATATATACTGCTGCAACATTCATTATATGTAATATTTTATTAAATAACTTTACAAAAAATAAAAACAACTTGTGTCACAAAGAAAAAAGTGACAAGAAAAGAAAACTATTAACTTTGACATCCTAGCTTATAAATAATTAATATTTGTATGCAATAAGCGATTAGTTCTAGGTGAAAAACATATACTTATTGATAATTTTTCTATTAAACCGTTCTTCTATTACAATTTTGTTTCATTGATTATTTTCCACCCTTAGACCCATACAAAAATATGTATCCTCATATCCTCGACAATTCACAATAGACCCACTAAGCGAATGCCATGCAATGTTGCCAGATCTAGTTTCATGGCTTTCAGAGTAAAGGAGGCTATGGCACAATTGAACGAGACATTCGTAACAAAAGAGTCGTTCAATCACCGCTCACTTAGAAGAGTCGTTCATTTTGAACGACTCGTTCGCGAACGACACACGACTACTCAGATCTATCGGTGCTGCCTGTTCATTCTCGATTTGTGTGTCAGCGAAGCAGTGCGCGCCGGGACGTAACGAATTCTTTTTTTTTTAGTGCAAATAATATACATTGTTTGGATCTCTGCGAACTTAAATATGCCAAAACGCACTAGAAGCGATCGACATCGCCCCGTGATACCGAAACTAGAAAACTTCGAAAAATAATTAACAATTTGGATGATCGGTTACGCGCCATGGAAAAGCAAGGCCGCCCGTCTCGGTCTCGAATACGACGCATATCCAGTTCCCCTTCTTCGTCGTCGAGTGGCTCTTCGTCTCGCTCACGCTCGAAGGTCACGCACCCGTAAATCGCCTTTTGCCGATGCTCTCGCAGGTAGGAAAATGCTCAGCTTAAAAATACACAATTTATGATGTCAATTCCCCCCTATAGTGATGAATCTATATGGTTTCATCTTTCCCTTGATCCTGACTTGAATGCTAGTCAGAGACGAGACATAATTAGTTAAAACTACTCATTTTCACTTATTGCATTTTGATATCAGTTCCCACATATAGTGATAAATCTATATGGTTTCATTTTTTCCTTGATCCTGACTTGAATGCTAGTCAGAGACGGGACATAATTAGTTAAAACTACTCATTTATGCTTATTGAACTTTGATATCAGTTCCGACACATAGTAATGACTCTATATGGTTTTATTTTTGTTTTGAGCCTGACTTGAATGCTAGTCAGAGACAGGACCTAATTAGTTAAAACTGTGGTTAAACCACTTATTGACTTTTGATACCAATTTCGACATATCGTAATGAATCTATGTATTCTTCCTCGATCCTGACTTCAATGCTAGTCGGGTGTAAGAAACTTAGCTAATAGCTATCCTCAAATATCACACTGAGCCTATTCGTGTCTTCCATCCTGGCTTGGATGCTAGCCGGATGTGTTTAATAGCCACAATATCTCGCACTTATTTTGAACTACAGCTTCACCGTTGTTTCAGAAAATGATGTAAGGTCCGAGGAAATTTCATTCTCCCGAGCGCCTTTAAGTGAGGATCTCATAGACATACTGGGGAAGAAAGACACCTCTCCTGAACCACTGGGGCCCAAAATTCATGAGGATTTGCTCCTTCGATGGGAAAAAATTTTGAAGACGGGCCTATCTGATGACGATAGAAAATCCCTTCTGTCCAAACTCCCTCCGCCTGAAAACTTTACAACATTATCTGCTCCACTTCTTAACCCTGTAGTACAAAAAGCCATTTCTCCATCTAACTTATTGAGAGATGAGCGACTGACAAAACTACAGTCTTTAGTTGCGGCAAGCCTTTCTGGCATTGGCCAGGTCTGTAGCCTCCTGTTATCGGAAGAAGGGGGGGGGGACAGACGATACATTAAACTACTCAATAATGCAGGTCGAATGTTGGCTGACTTGTGGCATTCCCAAAATATAACCAGAAGGGAACTTATTTCAATAAACCTCTCCAAGGAATTTCAGGAGGCCACAAAAGACATCCCTCTGGATACCTTTCTTTTTGGGCAAAACTTGGACGAGCGAATGAAAGCAACCAAAAGTTCCAAAGAATACAGGAAAATACTAAAAGCAAAGCCTCCAAAAACCATTACCAAAACTCACTATCAGGCTCCTACTTCATCCCAACGATTTCCTGCAACGACTCGCTCGTTAAACCACAGGGCTCCATCTCGTTACCAACAGGGAACGAACCGACAGAGGAGCCGATACTACAACAAAACAGTTCCCCCTCAATACAGATTGAAACAGCAGCAGCACAAGCAACGCGGGAGACCGAATCGCCAGGCCGCACACAGATCAGCGCTGGTAGATTAAAATATTTCCTGCATAAGTGGAAATTTCATTTTAAGGAAAATATCACATTACGATGGATCCAAGGGTTTAAAATACCGTTCATGGCTTTACCACAACAACTAGAATTCAAAACTTTATGTTGGTCAGTCAATGAAAAGGCTCTGGTTCAAACATGCATTAACGACCTAGTCTCTTCCGGAGCCGTCAGTAAACCCTTGTAAAGGCCAGTTTCTCTCAAATATTTTCATAAGACCCAAAAATGATGGGACCAACAGACTTATTTTAAACTTGATAAAATTAAACTTCTTTGTGAAATGTAAACAATTTAAACTGGAAGACCATCGTACTGTAACAAAAAAGGATATCGAAAACTTGCTTCATGAGTACAATCGATCTAAAGGATGCATATTTTCTTATACCCATTTACGAAAAACACAAAAAGTTCCTTAGATTCAAATTTGAAGGCAACATATACGAATATAACTGCATGCGTTTTGGGCTAAATGTAGCACCTTGGGTATTTACTAAACTAATGAAACGCATAATGACTCTCCTTATAGAAATGGGGTTTGTTTCTGTCATATATTTAGACGACATCTTACTCTTTGGCAGTACGTACAAGGAGTGCATGGATAATGTCTCCTATACCAGAAAACTACTGATCTCACTCGGTTTCCTCCTGAACCACAGAAAAAGCAAACTAGCTTCCGAAGAAAAAAATTCTTAATACAATAAAACTACTTAAAACGTTCTCAACCATGAAATGTTGTTCCATCAGAGATTTTGCCAGGTTTGTGGGAACGCTTATATCTCTATGCCCGGGTGTTAAATATGCGTGGCTATACACAAAATTGTTTGAGCGACAGAAGTTTCTGGCGCTACGTCACTCAGGGGGCAGTTATACTGCAAAAATGAGGATAGACCCGGAGTTAGGTAAAGATTTTCAGTGGTGGCTAAATCATTTACCAACCGCAAGAAACCCTATCCGTTTTGATGATTTTCAGTTGAAAATATTTTCTGACGCTTCAAGAATGGGGTGGGGTGGAAATTGTACAGGCAGAACAACTCACGGGTTTTGGTCAGAAGTCGAAAAAGATCAACACATAAATTATTTGGAACTTTCAGCGGCGTTTTTTGGACTAAAATGCTTTGCAAATAAACTACGTAACTGCAATATTCTATGTCGAATTGACAATACAACAGCTATCGCATATATTAACAAGATGGGGAGTGTACAATATCCAACATTAAACCGACTTTCACGCCTTATCTGGCAGCGGTGTGAACAAAGGAACTTATTTATATATGCTTCATACATAAGTTCTAGCGACAATAAAGAAGCCGATAGAGAGTCTCGCAGTTTGGGAATGGAAACCGAGTGGGCTTTAGATAAAACTGCCTTTGCCAAAATTGTCGGAAAATTTGGCACACCTAGTATAAATCCTTTCGCATCTAGGAATAATACAAAATGTAAAAAGTTTGTATCATGGTTGAGAGATCCGGAAAGTTTCGCAAGCGATGCCTTTACTTTGAACTGGGAACAGTATTTCTTCTATGCTTTTCCTCCATTTTCTCTTGTACTAAGAGTCTTACAAAAAATAATTTCAGACCAGGCTCGGGGCATCCTTATCGTCCCTCTTTGGAGCTCTCAACCTTGGTATCCCATTTTCACCTCACTCACAGAAGGTGAACCAATAATTTTTCAACCTAGTAAAAATCTACTATCCTTTAACAGGACTCCCCATCCCCTGGTAGCCGCAACTATAGATGGTATCGCCAAAGCGTTGAAGCTAGGCTGCGTTCCAGAGGAATCATTGAACATATGCCTAGCATCAATAACCGAATCCACTACCGCACAGTACAACGTTGGCTTGCGGCTATGGTGGCAGTAAAACCAGTGTACAGGTATGTGTATCGTGCAGTAAAACCAAAGCAAATACCATCATAAAAATTTTACCTGGTCCAAAAGGTAATGCCAAAAATATTCATAAGGAACTTGATGCTTTGAATTTATTTATAACTGACCAGATGATTGATGACATTGTAACAAATACCAACATCTATATTCGAAAGAATAAGAATGAAGTTAAATATTCAAGACCCAGGGATTGCAAGGATACTACAAAACCAGAAATCAAAGCTCTCTTGGGGGCACTGTTTTTCATCGGAATAAAAAAAGGGAGTCATACAAATTGCTTGGAGTTGTGGGATCAAGAAACAGGAATAATTCTTTTACGATCACTTTTTAGTTACAAGCGTTTTTTGTTTCTACTTCGTGCACTTAGATTTGACAATGCGCATACTCGAGAGGATAGAAAAAAAATGACAAATTAGCTCCTATCCGTGATTTCCACCAGGAGTTTGTTAGGAATTGTATCACTAATTTCAATGTATCTGAATTTGTTACCATCGACGATATGTTGCATTCTTTTAGAGGGAGATGTTCTTTCGTCCAATACATTCCTAACAAGTCTGCGAAATATGGTATCAAAATGTATGGACTTTGTGATGCCAAAACATTTTATACCTACAATTTTGAAATTTGTTGCGGAAGGCAAGTACCAGGCCCATACGCAAATTCCAACAAAGCTCACGATATTGTTAAAAGGTTAGTGGCACCTACAGAAAATACAAAAAGAAATCTTACTACAGACAACTATTACACCAGCTATCCATTAGCAGAATATTTACTAGACAAAGGACTTACTTTACTCGGTACCCTGAAGAAGAATAAAAAGGAGCTACCACCCGAATTTCTACCGAATAAAGATAGACCAATAAAATCATCCTATTTTGGTTTCCAAGATGTCATGTGCCTAATATCAACAGTTCCAAAGAAAAACAAAGCAGTGATTCTCCTTTCTACAATACACAGCACAAATGAAATAGACGAAGAGACTCAAAAACCATTAGCAAATTTGGAATATAATGCCACAAAAGGAGGGGTTGATACTGTCGACCAAATGTGTGCTTCTTACAGTACCGTCATTTGGGGTGAAATTGATCATCCGGGTGAGATTGTTCACTAATTCATCCATTTATGTATTTGAATTCAGCGCCAAAATCAAATTTACGAACGCACTCCTATTGGCTAGTAGTGACAGTAGAAAGATGGCCGAGGGTAATATGTACACGTGAACTATAACGGCTCCGTATTTTATGAAAAAACTGCAAGTTGTTAGTAGTCAGTGTTTTTCTGTAAAAGTGAACATCGAGAACTTTGTCTGGTAAGTCAGAATTTAAGTAGGTTTTTTAATTTCCAGCAAATATATTTGTATGTTTATGACTTGTAGCTATCGTATGTTTTGGTGTTAACAATCCATTTTGATCTTATTTGTCGTTTTGTTAGCTGGGGTCAGATTGATCATGTATACGGGGCGAGATTTGTCATCTGATCAATCTCACCCCACGTAATAGATAAGTTTAAAGGTAACTTAAAATATACTTTATTTATCTATTTTTTTTTATTTTTTACAGCTATGCCAAGAAAGTACCAACGAAGGCTAGAAGGATTATTCTAACGCCAAGGTTGAATTAGCACTTCGAAAGATTGCTGAAGATGATTGGTCTAATCGTCGTGCTGCAGCTAAATATAAAATTCCATTTGGCACACTTCGCTATAAATACATTGGTAGCCATATTAAGAAAAGCGGAGGACAAACGGTTTTCACATTTAACGAAGAAAAAGCATTTATAAAGGCAGCAAACTGCTGTGGAGAGTGGGGATTCCCTCTTACAATAACTGACTTACGATACTTAGCTAAAAATTACTTAGATAGCCAAGGCCGCAATGTTAGTAAGTTTAAATCAAATATGCCTGGGATAGACTGGGCTCGTTCTCTGCTAGAACGACACAACAGAGAAAACAGTCAAAAAGTGTCGGCGAATATTAAAAGCTCACGTGCACGTATTTCGCGTGATATCGTCGTAGAATATTTTAATAATCTGAGAGAAACGCTGAAAGATGTCCCAGCCGCTAATGTGTTCAATTACGACGAAACGAATCTGGAAGATGACCCTGGGAAGCAGAAAATGTTATTTCGTCGTGGAACCAAGTATCCAGAACGCATATGCAACTTTACAAAGACAGCAATATCAATTATGATGTGTGGTTCAGCCACTGGTGTACTATTGCCTCCTTACATCATCTACAAGGCAGAAAAAATGTGGCAGCAATGGACTGAATTGGGTCCAAAAGGTGAGCCTTGTTGCAATGACAGATGTTGTGGTCAAGGTTCTCGTTACAATCGAACCCACCATCGATGCCCAAACTTTCACAGACTGGTTTGAGATGACATTCTTACCACATGCGAAACGCTTACCGGGTCGCAAGGTGCTGTTGGGTGACAATCTCTCGTCTCATTTCACGGATACTGTCTTAAAACAATGCCAAGAAAATGGCATTGCCTTTGTGTGCCTTCCGAAGAATTCGAATCACCTCACACAACCTCTTGATGTTGGATTTTTCCGTCCATTTAAAATAGCGTGGAGATCGATGTTATTGAACTGGAAGACTGATTCACAACAGATTTCTATTGATAAAAGAGATTTTCCCCATTTACTGGCTGCCGCTCTTATTGAAATGAATAAAAAATCAGAAAATGCTATAAAAAAAGATTTAATAGCGTCATTTCAAGCGACAGGAGTTGCGCCATTTGATCCCGAGCGAGTCTTGCAGAGGATCCCAAGTGAAGCTACTGGCAATGATGCAGATGGCACTGTGAACAACGTTCTTGTGAAGTACTTGCAACAACAACGTTTTACAGCAGTTCCAACAAGAAGGAATATTAAAAGGAAAACACTGTCGGTAGAACCTGGCAAAAGCGTAGCAGCATGTATTAATGAAGATTCTATCGATTCAGATGTAGATCAGCCATTACCCAATGACAACTCCGACGACAATCTCCTAGAAGATACAAATGACGATATCGGAACAGAGACAGAATATTTCGAACCAGAAGAAAATCAAGTTGCGGCTGGGAAATTTGTGCTAGTTAAGGTTTACGGTGAATCAAGAAAGAAAACAATCTATCGGTACATAGCTATTATACAGCAGGTGAGAGTGGACGAAGAAGGAAGAACAGAAATTGACTTACTGGGTATGAAGTCTGTAGACAAATCAAAGAAGATTTTCGCAGTTGAAGACGGTGACGAATTTGTAACAGATATATCTGATGTGTTAGCCATTTTACCAAATCCGTCAATAAAACAAAGTGATGGTATCGACAGGTACTTCTTCGAAAGAGTTATTGACGTTTCTGAAATGAAGTAGTTTGTGACTCTGCTTTCAAGTTCTGTTTTCTTTAAGAGAAACACTTTTTTGTTCAAATTTGTGTATTTTCACTTTTATAACTAATAAAGGCTTCATAACAATTATCAATTTGTCTTAATTTGTGAAGAAAGGTCAATTTATGATAAAGAAATCGCATGATCAATCTCACCCACCCTGAACAATTTCACCCCCAACAGTATAAAAAGCTATAACTTCAAAAATACTTGACATAGAACAAAGGCGGTGAGATTGATCATCTAACGTGTATGAGATTGTTCACGACTT